ATCCTCCTGTGTGGCGGTTCTGAGGCAGGTGTACTTGGACTCCAGGGCACAGGGTGTTCAGAAGAGAATGGATGCAGCCCCCCTTCCCCCTAAGCGCTGTCTCCCCAATTCCCTCAGTTACATTCAGGCAGCTGCGTGTTCTCTGCAGGGTCCCTTAGTCCTTTGCCTGTCCCTATCATTCTGGAATACATTACGGCACAATCTTGTCTCTACCTCTCAAGAGCTGATAACATCAAGGCAAAGCAGGGCAGGGTAGAGGGAGGCAAGCAGGGCCACCGGATGTGAGCAGGGCCACCAGATGCAAGCAGTGCCCAGGCTCTATGACCACCGGGCCTCGGCTTGAAGCACTGTCGTCCTGTCATTTGGCCTTGTGAGTCTAGCCAGCTTGATTTCCCACCTCTGCTGTGTGCAGGGATGATTAAAAGAGCCCTGCTGTCATGTGAGCAAACGGCGAGAACAGAGAATGTGCACCACGTGCTCTCAGGGGCCACTTCTGACTGGTGGGATACCTTGAACCTTTCTATAGCCTTTCATTTATACACAAGCATGTGCACTAAGAAATTCAAACCAATGCGGCTGATTGAAGGGGGAGAAACAAGACAGTACATTGGTGGTGTGCATCTTGCTTCTTCGGGTCTCAGGACAGAACTGCCAGAGGCATAGAGAACCGTTCTGGCCCAGTGACCTTCTCCTAGCATCAAGAACTACTGTTTCTAAGCCCAACCCTGCCCAGATACGGATGAGTTTATCCATACCTTTGCAGGCACGCTGACATTCCTACTGTACACTTGAGTGAATCAAGGCACACGAGAGGGAGGGACCGTGTCAAGGCCACGCATCCAGAATTTGCCTCTGAGCTGGAGAGTCTAAAACAGAGGTTCTCAACCTGTGGGTTGTGACCCCTCTGGGGGGACTGAATGACCCTTGCACAGGGGTGCTCATAGCAGTCGTCTTGCACGTCAGATAGTTACATTACTATTCCTAACAGTAGCAAAATTACAGCTATGAAGTAGCAATGAAAATAATTTTATGGTTGGGGGTCACCACAACATGAGGATCGCAACAGTAGTGTTTTGGGAGGCTTTGCTGGTCAGAGGTTGTGGTCTATCATGGTCTGGCAGCTTTCTCCAAAAGCTCAGCAACATGCTGTCCCCTTCCCCCATTGAGACTTCCTACTCTCTACCTGCCCTAATCTGGAGAATGTCCCTGGGCCCAGAGGACTGACCTTATCTGAAAGATGCTCTAACCCTTGGCAGTTTCCTGCTAGAAGTTTCCCCCTGCTGCACATATGGTAACTAAGACTCACACTAGGAGCTTTGCTCTAGGACCCTGCTGCCATATACAAAGTCTTATTGATAGAGGCCTGCCACTTAATGCAAATTAGGTGATTTCCCAGCCACTGTCCCCAGCCTTTATATTTCCTTTTCTTTCTGAAAAAAAGGGGAGTTGTAACACTTAGACGGTCTCCCCAGGGAGCTGTCTCACAAGCCATTGGATCCTGCCCACTCCTTCAGCTCCCTCGTCCCTCACAGATGGTGGCGGTTAATGGAGGAAGAAGCAGAGCCACACATCTGGAAGGTTGAGAACCACGGCCTGGGTTCCACACCTCTCCCAAGTACAAACCCCGCTCTGGGAGAGAGGCAAACTCTCAGGACATTTCTTCACTGCCAGGAGGAGCCAGGAACCCTCCAGTCAAGGCTGATTTCCTCTGAGAGGAATTCGCCACTGGTGCACATTATCAAGTGGGAAGCACTTGGCCCCGTGGCCGAAGAGGCCACGGTTGTACATGCTGTGGAAAGTAGTGCCTCATGGTGCAGGAAGAATGGGCTAAATTGTCTCCTTGGCCGAAAGGTTCCCTGGCTCAGGGGCTGTGGGCAAGAGGGAATGCTGGACAAGCAAGATGAAGGGTGGACTTGGTTTCCGTCCTACCACACATCAGTCATGTGGCCCGAGGAATGCCATGTCTTGTCTTGGGATTTTGTTTCACTTATTTTGAGACAGCCTCATAGAGCCCAGGATGACCTAGAACTTCTGATCCTTTTGCCTCCACCTCTGGAGTGCTTTGAATACAGGTGTGAGCCACCACGTCGGGTATAAGAAGGAGCCGGGACTAAACCCAGCGTTCTAGTTTAGTTTAAACTCTACCAACTGAGACGCATCTCTAATCCCTTCTTTTCTGGGACTACAAAATGAGGGGGCTGCCAGGCCTCACATTCTCTGAGTCTCCTAATTCCTCAAATGAAGAGCCTACGAGAACAGATACCATCCCTGAGCATTAGAAACAGACGCCCACTCTGGGGAGAAAGGATGGAATTTTGCCTTGTCCCTTTCTCGGGCTAAGTCTGGTGTTTTTATCCCCCTCAAAATAACCTTTGAAAGGACACCTGCAAACTGCAGGGGTGGCCCTTCTGTGGAGAGAGGGCATCTGCTCTGTGGGACATCACCATTAGCCTTTGGAGGAGAGACCTGCTGTGCGCATGCCCACAGCAGGTTTAACGCAGGCTTCTGGGAAGACTGAATGCCAAGAGAAGGCCAAGGGCACCTGCAGGATAGAGGGCATTGTGTACCCTGGGACTCCACGCCTCCAGAGTCCCTTAGCTGGGCAGGCAGTGACTCACTGGGCAGCTTCTCCTGGCTTTGTGATGATCGTTGACATGGCTCATCAGGTGACCTTCAAAGCTGTACTTGGATGCTTTGTCCAAGAACCAAGGCAGAGGAAGCTGACTTTTTAAAAATATATTTTATCTTTAATTGATGCATATCCATTGTGCGTATTTAAGGAAGAGAGCGTGACGTTCAGTGCACATAGACCGCAGTGATGACTGACGGGCCTATCCATCACCTCAGACACGTAGGTATTGAGGACGTTCACTATCCTTTCTAGAGTTACTCTGAAATAATGAGCAGCTGTCAATCACAATTATCCTTCCATGTAATAGAACGTCAGAAACTATTCCTCCTATTTGATGGCACTTGTTGACTACTTTCCCTCCATTTCCTACTCTCTCCAGGCTCACGTGATCAGTTTTTTTTTTCTTTGAAATTAACTTTTTAGCTCCCATAAATACGGAAGTATATATGTCCATCCTCTGAGGTCCATTATAGCTAGGCACTAAAAGGCAAGGGGGTGGGGTGGGGTTAGGAAATCCAAATCTAGGGTTCTCAGGGTGAAACATTTACCATGCAAGTGTGAAGGCTGGGTTGAGATCCCTAGCATCCATGAAAATGCTGGGACAGACATGGTGGCTTGCCTGTAATCCCAGTACACGGGAGGCTGAGACAGGGGATCCCCAGAGTAAGCTGGTTAGCCTGAATAGCTAAATTGTTGAGCTCTAGGTTCAAGTAAAGAGACCCTGCCTCAATATACAAGGTGGATAATGATTGAGGAAGTCATCTGGCCTTCACATGGACACACACACACACATATTCACACACATCTGCATACATATACCAGAACACACACACACACACACACACACACACACACACACACACACACACACACACGCACATCCCCCCCCACCCTACCTACACACATGAAAAAAATATCAGAGCTCATCCCCACCCTCCACTTCAGACACGTTCAGGGCTCCTGTCCAGATGATGGCAGTATATTCTTGTAATGGAACCAGGAAGGGGTCTGGGACGACCGGAAAGGGAAGTACAGTCAGGAGTCCTCAGAGAAAAGGCACACTGGGTACCGTCTGCAACTAAGAACACTAGACTGTTGCCATTTCTCACGTCAATCCCGGGTGACGGACTGGCAAGCAGCTGCTCAGATGTCTGTGCTGAGAACTGCAAGACTGTGAGTGAGCCCAACCAGAAGGAGCGCTCTGCTAATTCCTAGAACGCTGTGACAGATCAGCACCAACACGGTGCCTCAGAAGCAACAGAATGTGTTCTCGCAGCTCTGTAGACAAGAAGGCTGAAATCAACATGTTTGCGGGACCATGCTGCCTTCAAAAGCTCCGAGGGTGGGCTTGTTTCTCCCAGCTTCTGGGGTTTATTGGCTTATGGGCTCCATCGCTCCCATTCCTGCGTCTGTCTCCACATAGCCTCCCCCTTCTGCGTGTCTCCGTGTGCTCAACCCTTCTCCCCTCTCTCAGAAAGACTCCAGTCAATGGAGTGAATCAAGGGTGATTGCGTCTTGAGAGCCCTAACTAATCACCATCCACGAAGAAGACTCTACTTCTAAATAAGGCGTGTGCTGACGCTGACGTTGGGGGGCCAGGCCACTCTTCCACCCAGTTCCAGGGCTCTAACGGGCAAGCAGTCTGGACCAGGGTACAGGGATGCCAAATGTTAGTGCCCATATTGTTCCCCTGTTGTGCCATAGCTTTATAGACGGAGGAGCCGGGATCCAGAACCACAATGTAAGGGCAATGCAGGAGATGAGAAAAAGGATGGGGATGTACAGGTGGGGAAGAGTCACGGGGGAGAAGTGGGGTGGGGAAGGGTGGGGGTGCGTTGGCAGTTCCTCGGGGCACCGAGAAGGGCATCTTGGCAATTGAAACCACTATCCAGGTAAGATCTACAAGGAGGAGTAAGAAAAAAAAAAAAAAAAACCGGTAACTAGTCAGCCTGAGAGACGACTCGGCTGTAAATCCTTTGCCTTGATGAGTCTGGGGACCTGAGTTCAACCCCCGGGACCCATGTATGGTATGCCTCGGTCAATTGAGAGCTGGCCAAGTTCACTGGCCAGCTAGCCTTAGCCTGCTTGGTGAGACTCTAGGCTGAGAGATTGTCTCAGACAGAAAACAGACAGTACTTGAGGCTGTGCTCTGATCTCTACACAGGTATAACATGTATACATACATACATACACACACACACACACACACACATACACACACACACACACACACACACGCCAACTATAGAAAAAATACAGGACCATCAGAAGAATGTTAGTGTTCTGGGGATCAACCTGCAGAATACGGCTCATTTTTGGCCGGAGGAACCAAAGCTCCTCTCACTGGGCAAAAGCCTTCTCAGACTGGTCCCTGAAAGCATTGTGCGTAGATGCCTGCTGGTTGCCATGGTGAATGATGCTGATCTGAAGAAATGAATAATGTGAGCGTTGGGGGCGACAGTGGGATTACTCAGTGGTGAGAGAGACACCGAGGAGAAGTCTAGTGCGGAGGAGGGAGAAGCACATCATCTCGGACTTGGTCCATTCTCTGAGGAAGAAGTCTAACCGCATATACTGCGAGCATCAGGTAAGAGACAAGAATGGCTGTCTTGGAAACGAAAATGGCTTTTCCTTTCACACTGCCTGGAGAAGGGCCAGGCTGTGGGAACCGAACAGCTAAAACCAGGAAGAGCTCAAAAAACAGAAGGCAGGAAGAAAAATAAATACGGTAGTGGTGGTGGATTTATCTCCGGAAGCCGAAGATGCTGCTGGCATCCTCAGCAGCAGCTCTTAAAGATGTCTGCTGCAGGGAAGCCAGGCTATAACACAGCCAGCCGCAGAGGAGGCAAAAAGAGGGAAAGGCACGCGTGAGGCTAGGATTCCCAATTACCCCGATGGGAGGGTTTTACAGAGCGTGGTGCTGTGTACTATAGGGTATGAATTCCTCCCCATTCATGGCAGTTGGAAGTGTGTTTGCTGGACGTGGGGGTCCCCAGGTGGGGAAGTGAGCACATATGATGAGACCAGGAAGGGAGGGTAAATCAGTCTCCTTGCCGACAGGCATCTCTTGGGAGGATCTGCACACACCTGTCTCATCTCTGTCATTTCCCATTTACTGGGCAGACATTCCCAGCCGAATAGAAAGGAGTGATTCCCTCTCCTAAGCATTTCACTGTCTTTAGAGAAGAAAATCAAGGCTTGAAAAACTACTTTCCATTGTCACATTTTTTTTTTTCATGGCTCACCTACGCTGATAACACAAGCATAGAAACAGACATCAGTTTGGCTTAGCATTCACTCTGGGCTACAGTCTGACTGACTGCTTTTTACAGTGCATTTCAATCTACAATGCAGATCTGCACTTCTGGCTGGAGAGGAGGAATGGAGAACAAGGCGGGGGAGCCGGTCACCGGAACATAGAGAGGGAGGCTGCCCACCGTTGTCCCTCGAGTTTTGATCAGGGGAAATTCAGAGGGGCAGTTTTCTTTCTCAGACAGAAGGAAAGAAAAAAAAACCCAAAAACCTAATGTCGTTCTGTTACCAAAGCAGTAAGGCTGGCAAGCTGAACAGGTCTCATCTGGCTTGTCCAACCACACAGCCACCAGGGCACTTCATCTGGCAGTAACGTTCTGTTTTTAAACCCCGTGGCTTTGCAGAGAAACCCAGTGGCTAAGTTCTCTCTCCTCCTGTTAGCTGAGATGCCAGGCTGCTCATCTGTAAGATGGGAATGGAGTCTGTTATCATGTGAGAAGTCCTCTAGCAGAGCTTGGATTCAGCAACTGCTTACTTGCTCTGTGAGTGCTTAGACCAGAGGTTCTCAACCTGTGGGTCCCCAACCCCTTTTGGAGGTTGAAAGGCTCTTTCATAGGGGTTGTCTAAGACCATTGGAAAACATAGATATTTATGTTACAATCCATAACAGTAATAAAATTACAGTTACCAAGTAGCAACGAAAAATTTTGTGGTGTTGGTGGTGGTGGTTGCCAAGGGATCCTCATGTATCAAAGGTATCAAACTGTATCAAAGGATGGAAGCATTAGGAAGGTTGAGAACCACTGGGTTAGATAGTCACAAGTCATGATACCGGGACTATTAGAAGCTAAGCTATCCTGGAAGCTGATGACCTTGACCCGAGAAACTAATTTCTTGGTACCTTGGATTCTGATAAAACAAAACGCTAACAGAAGCTCTGAGGTGGGATCACGGCAGGAGGGTGCCGCAGTGAATCTTCACTAGCCATGGGAAACATAGCTCAGTCTTTAAAAAAATATAAATAAAGAAAGAAAGAAAGAAAGAAATCAAACCAGCCACTGGGCGGAATGTTCTAGGTAACAGCTCATAGCACACGCGGCAGAGTCAGGAGATCAGAGAGAGACTGATCTGAGAATCATAAGGTAGGCCCTCTGAGACTCTACTGATCTCTCTTCACATTGCCTGTGTTTGTAAGGGTTGGGATCAATGTTGCTAAGTAATGGATTTCAGCCAGGATGGGTATGGCTGGGGCCATGGGGGTGTATCTTAGGCCTGAGAACTACAGCTTTGTCATGAGCCAGCCCTCATTCCCACCTGCATCCTACCCCTTGTTAGTTGCCTTACATAGCTTAACCTCTGGGCTTCCATTTTCTGGTCTGTATAACAAAGGCAGTATTTGTGGGATGTCACTCTTCACTGTGATCTGGTTCCAGAACCGGGATGAACATTGAGGTTGGGAACGTGTCTTACACGGGAGCCATCATCTCCTGGTCGTCCTCAGAGCCTTGCTTGGAGGACTATTACCATATTATGTACAGGCCCAACTGGAACAGTATCTTCTCCAGCTATCTGCGCTACAGCTTCCATCACGAGGAGAAGGTGCCTCGAACCATCACCTCTGTGGCGTTGGAACACCTCGCCCCTTCCACGCTCTACTTCCTCTGTATCAGCTGCAAGAAGGCTGCCTTCCCATACAGTCACTACTGTACCATGTTCCACACCCTGGATAAGAGTCCACTGGCTGCGGGCGGCTCCCTGGTGGACCCCCAAATTTCCCTTTGGGTGCTGATGGCCATCCTGCTGGCCTGCTTCACTGCTGTGTTGGCCTTCATCTGCCTCCAGTTCTGGTGCATCCGCTGTCATGAGCCTCGATGGTCTTACAGAGCTGGCCACATGGAGGAAGCCAATGGGTTGGTAAGATGGCCCGAGGAGGCCCCAGCCCTTGGTCAGAGGGAAGAAGACCTGCAGGGGCTCCCCCTGGTGGAACTGCCACGCAAGAACTCTGGGGCCAGAGTAGAAGCTGAACCAGAAGCAGAAGCCAACCAGGATGCCTTGGATGTGGTGGCCTTAGCTAGAGAGCGTGGTGACCAGCCAGGCATACTGCCTCACTATAGAGCGTGAGCAATGGGGAGGAGATGGCCCATTTCACATAGCCTAAAATGCTGTCTGTAGTGTGTCCTATGTGAACATTTGTCTACAGGCCACCCGCTTCTCTCCTCTCAAATGACAGTGCTGTATGGATGAGTGGGGTTGGATGGATGCCAAATGACAATGGTCCCCAAGCTGGAAAACACAGGCCCCCGAGGTATGTCAAGGGCAAACAAGGCGTTGCGTTAGTATTGTCCATTTGGAGGCCTAGTCAAGAACTGCAGACCTGGTTTCAATATTAGAATCACTGTGGCTGCATCACAGAGAGTTAAAAGTAGCTGGACCTGAGTCTGAGACACTAGAATGAAATGCGGAGTCAGATGTGGATCCTGAGAATCTTTGGAAAAGGATGAAAGCCCTGTTCTAACTGTCAAGTAATTGCACACCACACCCTTCACCCCCAGGTTCACTTTTTTTTTAAAGCCACAGGCTGGCTTATCTTTAACAGCTAACACCTTTTATTTAAATTGACCACAGATTTAAAACATAGACCCTTAGAAGACAGCCTTGTATTACCCCATAAACAAAAATCCAGGCCCCTCTTGTTATAAACAGAACAGATGTAAGAATACATACAACAAAATAATATTAAATTTGATGACGACTTCTGTCTGCCAATGCCTCTGGGCTTAAGGCCATCTCTCTTGTGTTGGAGCAAAAGGGAGGCCAGCCAGTGCTGAAGAGACCAGCATCAAGGCTAATGTAAGTGGCTTCCCTTTATAGGACAGAAGGTTTGAACGAGGATTGGAAAGGGAAGCATGCGTTTCAGTGTGTGGACCATGTCTGTGAGCCACCTCAAATGCTGTCTGCCGGCCCTCCCCACCCTCTTTTTGGTGGGTTTGGGAGTGCAATCTCACTACCTAGCCTTGGCTGACTGGAACTTGCCATGTAGACCAGGCTGTCCTTGAACTCACACCAGTCCTACTGCTGCGGCCTCTCCAGCATTAGGACAGTTGAGCGCCACCACACCTGGGTTCCAAGCTTCTCTTCGTTTGAGAAAATGACCTTGAACAGTCTGACTCCTCTGGAGAAGACACCTGTGCCCTCCAGCATCTTCCTTATGCCTGGCAGTGCCCCATCCGGATCTTCTCTGGGTTAACCACACTTCGAAATCCGAAGCTCTCTTGACCTCACACCACCGTATTCCTGTAAGCTTTTCTCTGCTTACTTTGAAAATGGGATCAAAGGTGGCTATTTTTGTTCTGTTGCCTCTTTTTTGGGGGGGTGGGGTAGGGTGGGGGACATGTTTCACCCTTATGGTGGCTTTCTTTATTCCTCCCACCTGAGCCCGTATCATAATTCAATCTATACCTATTGCGACACTGGTGGGACTTGGTGAAAACTATTCCCTACCACACATGTGGACATGGAATTATAGATATGTCTTTGCACCCCTGATGTACACTAATAGGCCAGACATGGGTTACCCGTGGGTGTAATTACTTGGAATGAAGGTGTGTATGTGAACAAAAGCCACATAAGGAAGAGGAAATCTGCTCAGAGACAGCCCCAGCCATCTACAATGGCTGTCAAGCTCTGTCTGTAAACCCTTTATATTCACAAAGCCCCAAATCCCAGAATCACCAACCAAGAAATGGGAGAAACTGGGACGCCGCAAGGAGAAGCCCCATCTACCCATTTACCCACCACGCTCGGCACGGTACTCACCCCTCTCCTCAGCTCCCACCCGATTCCCCAACCCCCAGAGCTTTGTTCACCCCATCCCTGCTAGCTGTGAACCAATAAAGATGGATGGACTTGTCATGGCTTGTGCCTGGCTCTCACTGGGCCTCTTGGACCACACAGCCTCTGACTTTTCTGATTCTGGGAACACCTTTCTATTTGTATTTTTCTCACTCTGTCACAGGTGGGATGGGCCGTGACTAATTAATTACCTTGGATCCATAGAGGTAATAAGGCTGGACGTTGGCGGGTTTATCTCGTTGTGGTTCTTGGGTGAAGGGGATGGCAGTTCGGACAAAACTAGAAGAAAAGAGACAGAGAAGCAGTGAACTGAGTCCCAGAGACATCTTTCAAGGGACAGGAGACTGCAGTAGCGTGCCCCCCCACTCCCACCTCCCATCCCCCACCCCACTCCAGCTGCAGCATGTCCCAGATGGCTGCCTACAGAGCAGCTGCACGCCTATTCTTGAAAACAGGGAAACTTGGAGCCCAGGAGGCACGAAAGTCAGGGCGTGCTAGGTCTGAAGATGGCCTTCTCTGGGGCTCCAGTCTGGTTTAAACGCGTAGTCAGTAAACTCTCTGTAAAGGGCCAGGCAGAAAATCCTTCGGCTTTGCAGGCCAGATGTCGCTGCAGCGAGGGCTCAGCTCTGCCCCTGAGCATGAAAACATCACAAACAACGGCATGCCAGTGAACATGCCCAAGTTCCAGCAGAACTGCGAGTTCAGAAGTCATCTTCAGGTCATGGCTATGCCTCTTTGGATTTTCCCCTAGCCACCCTCTAAAGATGGCGACACTGGGCTGGGGAGACGGCTCAGCCGTTAGGCACTTGCCACATCAGCACGAGGACCAAAGTTGGGGTCCTTAGATCCCATGGAAAAATGCTCAGGGGGTGTAGCTGCTCCCCTATAGTTCTAGCCTCAGAAGGTAGAAGGTGAACTCAGGGGATCCCCGGAGGAGGGCAGGGAGGCAACCTAGCTGAAGAAGCAAGCTAAGGGTTGACAGAGAGCCTGCCTCAATGAATCAGGTGGAAGAGCTACTGAGGGAGATTCCTGTCATCAACCTGGGGCTTCCATGTAGGTGTGCTCATGCACATGCATGCACACCCACATACTGGTGTGCCCACACATATTCAAACATACATACACGTAGACAACATGCACACACAAAAATGGGAGGGGGGACAACGACAACGTATCTCCCAAATGAAGACGGGCCACACCATTCTCAGTACACGGGCTATTGATAGACAGTGTCCATTCATGTACTGTCGTCATGGCTCGTGACAAGAGAGGGGATAGAATTTGGAGCCAGGCTTGAGTTTGTAGCTCTGACTCAAGTGTGCCATAAAGTCACATCTTTATGAAGCTGGCCTGTCTTGCTCAATGCACAGATTCAGGTACATCTGTGTGCGGAGTCTTCCCGAATCCTTCCATTCATTCAATGTGGATTCAGTTCACACCACCCTGATCCGGGCTCCAGGGACTCAAAGACGGCACCTCCACATTTCCACCCATCCACCTGCTCTCTCCCTTGGTTTGTGAATTAGGGTGATAGGGCTTTGTGTGAGAAAAAGGATTAGATCTCAGCTCTACTTCAGGGTCTGCCCCTCCAGAGCTATGGGCTCCTTCTAGGAGGAGAAGTTCCACTCCGCAGAGAGGCCTGTTTTGCACTTACATTTCCAGGTATGTGCATGTCCTGACAAATGTACCATGTAATCAGAGCATCATCCTTCATCAAATCTCCCAGGTGATGCTCCTTTTAAGGCCTATGGTGCCTATAGTCTGTTCCTACTGTGTGGCTGCTGTGGGGGTTCCCTGCATGTGTGATGGCCGGCAGGGAAACGATCCAGATGAGGTGAGAATGAAACTTGGGATTAGCCGGACTTTAGTTAGTCAGTGCTGGGTCAAAACTCCGGGAGTCTGACACCAGGCGGTTTATTTTTTACACATTTAAACAGGTGAGACTGGAAAAAAGTTTCTTTGTGAGAATTATCACAACAAAGCTTTAGGCATGGCTACATAGAGACTCTCAGTGCAGGTCTTTAGCAAAGCATTTGTGACTTTTCCCACAAGAATGGGCTCTACTGACTGAGGAACAGGATAAGGGCCTCGGGAAGAACAGTTTGTAATCAGCACAACAGCAAACTCTTTTTGCAAAGTACACGGGACTTCTTTCATGAGAATGAGTTCCGTTGACTGAGAAATGATGCTCAGGATGCTGGGGGATTCATTGAGGACTGGCTTTACAGACTAGCAAAGATTACCAGGTATTAACACATCCATTCCCAGCCTTCTGAATAGAAAACAGGTGTCAGTGTCTTCTGCTGAAGAAAAAGAGCCTGCGCGTTTAACAATTCTGGTTTCTCTAGTGCTCATCTGTGAGCTTGCTCCCTCTGCAGGCTGCCTCCATCCTTTACCTTCATCCCTTCTTCTTAGGTAGGTAGAAGTTTTGCCCATAATAGGCTTCTGCTGTTTGCCTTACTCATTCCTGTCGATATTTTACAACTCACCTCCAGCATCACCTCCTTGGAGGAAAAAGCCCCCACTGAGGTTTGCCTCATTCCCGGACTGGGCCAAGTCTGGTTAGAAGGCTCTAAGCAGCTAGATGGCATCTGGTTGCTCGCCATGACATTGTTACCCCCAGGACAGAGCCTATAGAGCTCCAGATAAACACTTGTCACAGGAATGAACAGAAGTGCTGGGAACATTCAAGAGGCAATTGACCATAACCTCCTTTCCTGCCCTGCCCAATGGCCCCTGCACAGGGATGCCCTTACCGGTTTGTGGATCCATTATAGCAGTAGTTGGGGAGGAAGTCAAAGTTCAGCTCCCAGAAGACATGCAGGGTGATGCGGCCATACGGGGCAGACACATTATGATTGGCTTCTCGGAACATGGCGTCGAAGCTGTCCAGTGTCATGTGCTTACAGAGGAGTCGGTGCGTGAGGCGGTTAATCTCCAGCAGCCACTCTAGCTCCTGACAGAGAGAGAACCCGAGGCTGCTAAAGCAGTGCAGGTAACACACACACACACACACACACACACACACACACATACACACACACACACACA